ATAGCTTTTAGTAATATATACCATGAATTGAACGAAAGCCAAAGATGGACCAACGTGATTTGTGCAGCATTAGTGATAAGTGGACTTAATTTTCTACGTAAACTAGGGAATTTCATAGAATATAATGCATCTTTATCTATTTAAATTCACATAGAGATATAGTGGGTTAATAGGTGAAGATAGGTTTGGTATAACTTGAGAAAGTATATCGAATAAAATAGGAAATCCCGCTGTCACATGAATAATAAATACCTTGGAAGTATATTGATCTAAATTCTATATTAGTTGATGATAGTGAAGTCGGATGCCTTAAACTTTTAATTCTTGGTATTACTCAAAGTTAATTTAGTTTTTTTCTTTAATTAGTTTAGTTATTTACTTTATTCAAATAATTTAATTTCAATTGTTCAAATAAAATTAGAATTCATTAATTTTGGTACTTAATTAGTCTACGGTCTTTGTGGGACGATACTCTATTTTCATCATTATATTACTTGAACGGACTAGTACACTTGCTAGAGTGGAATTAGCTCATCAAGTTTTTGGTGCCGTTGCTGGGGACTGTATTGATTCTAATTAATATCAAGCGGATTAATTCTAGTTTTAATTTGGATTTTTTTTTATTTAGCAGGTGTGCAAGTTAGTGCATGACTCGTTCTGAAAATACAGAACTTGCACCTTTTGATCCTGAGATTGAGCGCACTTTTCATCAATTGAAAAACCAGAGGACAGCACTTGTTAAGCCAATTGACATCATGGCTGAAGATCCAGTAGCAAATCAAGCCATTAGAACATTGAAAGACTATGCTTCACCTTCAATTGAAGGAACTGTTTCAAGCATAAGGAGACCAGCTATCCAAGCAAATAATTTTGAAATTAAGCCAGCAACAATTCAGATGATTCAACAATTTGTGCAATTTTTTGGGTTGCCAAGTGATGATCCTAATGCTCATATTGCTAACTTTTTAGAGATTTGTGATACTTTTAAATATAATGGAGTTTTTGATGATGTTGTTAGACTAAGGCTTTTTCCATTCTCTCTGCGAGACAAGGCAAAGAATTGGTTAAATTCTTTACCTGTTGGGTCGATCACCACATGGGATATGATGGCTCAAAAATTTTTAAGTAAGTTTTTTCCTCCTGCTAAAACTGCTAAGATGCGTAACGATATTGCCACTTTTGTGCAGCTGGATATGGAGTCATTATATAAGGCATGGGAGAGATACAAATAGCTACTTAGGAAGTGTCCACATCATGGTCTACCTATATGGTTACAGGTACACACTTTTTATAATGGTTTATTTCCTAATAATCGTACCATGCTTGATGCTACTGCTGGAGGATCATTAATGAGTAAACATGCTGATGAGGGTTATAACCTCATAAAGGAGATGGCTTCAAATAGTTATCAATGGGGTTCGGAAAGATCACACATTAAGAAAAATGCTGGGATTTATGGGGTTGATGCCTTTACTGCTTTGACAGCACAAATTGAGGCTTTAAACCAAAAGTTAACTAGAATGAATGTCTCAACTATACAAGCCACAAGCATTAATTGTGACTTGTGTGGGGGAGCACATCCTAGTTCTGAATGTCTAAAAGGTAATTCTTTTATTTCTTCATCTGAACATGCTAACTTTGTTGGTTTTAATAAGCAGCAAAATAATCCATACTCCAATACATATAATCCGGGATGGAAGAATCATCCAAATTTTTCTTGGAGTAACAACCAAAACATAGTAAAGCAACCTCTAGGATTTCAACAACCACTTGAGAAAAAGTCTGATTTGGAGGATTTGTTGAAAAAATACATTGCGGTTAATGAATCAAGGTTTCAAAGTCAAGAAGCAGCAACCAAGAGCTTGGAAGCTGCAGTCCAGAACCAAGGTGCATCAATTCGGAATTTAGAGGTTCAGGTAGGTCAATTGGCAAGTGTAGTTTCTGGAAGAGCACAAGGAGCGTTACCAAGCAGTACTGAAAAAAATCCTAAGGAACAAGTGAAAGCTGTAACATTGAGAAGTGGGAAGCAAATTGGAGATGAAGAAAGCTCAAACAATGAGGGTGAAAAAGAGAAAGTTCCAACGAAAGAGAAAAAATCTGAAGAAGTCAAGCCTTATGTGCCTCCAATTCCTTTTCCACATAAATTGAAGCAACAAAAGCTAGATAAGCAATTTGCTAAGTTTCTAGATATTTTGAAGAAATTGCACATTAACATTCCTTTTGCAGATGCTTTAGCTCAGATGCCTAGCTATGCTAAATTCTTAAAGGAGATCTTATCTAACAAGAGGAAATTGGAAGAGTATGAGATTGTGAAACTCACTGAAGAATGTTCTGCAATTCTTCAGAATAAGCTTCCCCCAAAGCTAAAAGATCCAAGGAGTTTTACAATTCCTTGCACAATTGGAAATTGTCATTTTGATAAAGTTTTGTGTGATTTGGGAGCCAGCATTAATCTGATGCCATTTTCTATTTTCAGGAAACTGGGGCTTGGTGAGGCAAAAGCAACAACAGTATCTCTTCAATTGGCAGATAGATCCATCAAACATCCATGGGATATTATTGAAGATGTCCTGGTAAAAGTAGATAAATTTATCTTTCCTACTGATTTTATAGTTTTGGACATGGAAGAAGACCATGAGGTACCTCTTATCTTAGGCCGACCTTTTCTAGCCACTAGTAGAACTTTAATTGATGTGCAGCAAGGAAAATTGATGCTTAGGGTGGAAAATGAACAAGTTACTTTTAATGTCTTTGATGCCATGAAATACCCATCTGATATTGACTCTTGTTTTATGATGGAAACAATTGATGAAACAATTAATGAGATGTTGCAGGAAGATTGTCCAGATCTGCTGGAGGCATGTGTTGTTCATTCCAAAGACATTACTGCTGAAAATGAGGACATTAGGGAGTATGCATTTCATTTGGAAGCTTGCCCACCATTCTTGAACTCAAAGGAGCCAAGTATTCAAGATTTTAGAGCTAATATGCCTCGGCTAAAACCATCACTAGAAGAACCTCCAAAACTTGAACTCAAGCCTTTACCTGTTCATTTAAAATATGCTTATTTAGATGAAGATCTTTCTTTGCCTGTAATTATTTTTTCTTCTTTGACAGGTTTAATGGAGGAAAAGCTTCTTCGAGTTTTAAGGGAGCACAAAGGAGCATTTGGGTGGACAATAACCGACATAAAAGGAATTAGTCCCTCAATTTGCATGCACAAAATATTCATGGAGGAAAGCTACAAACCGAGCATTCAACCACAAAGGCGTTTAAATCCACACATGCAAGAGGTAGTGAAAGCTGAGGTAATAAAATTACTTGATGCTGGAATTATTTATCCTATTTCTAATAGCTCATGGGTAAGTCCAGTCCAAGTAGTTCCAAAGAAAGGAGGTATAGCAGTTGTTATGAATGACCATAGTGAATTAATTCCTACTAGGACAATAACTGGTTGGCGTGTTTGCATAGATTATAGAAAATTGAATGATGCCACTAGAAAGGATCATTTTCCTTTACCTTTTATTGACCAAATGTTGGAAAGACTTGCTAGGCATGCTTTTTACTATTTTTTAGATGGTTATTCAAGATATAATCAAATTCCTATTGCACCCGAAGACCAAGAAAAAACCACTTTCACTTGTCCTTATGGTACTTTTGCTTATAGAAGAATGCCTTTTGGTTTATGTAATGCACTTGCTACTTTTCAAAGATGTGTGATGGCAATTTTTCATGACATGGTAGAGAAAATTATTGAGATATTCATGGACGATTTTTCTGTGTTTGGTGACTCTTTTGATGCATGTTTGAAACATTTGGACTTGGTTTTACAAAGATGTGAAGAGACTAACCTTGTTTTAAATTGGGAAAAGTGTCACTTTATGGTACAGGAGGGTATAGTGCTTGGACATAAAGTTTCTCAAAAAGGTATTGAAGTTGATAGAGCAAAGGTAGAAGTGATTGAGAAATTACCCCCACCAACTTCCGTGAAGGCTGTGAGGAGTTTCCTTGGACATGCAGGATTTTATAGGAGATTTATTAAGGATTTTGCTAAAATAGCTAAACCTCTTTCTAATCTCTTAGCTAAGGATATTCCTTTTAATTTTTCTGATGAATGTTTGCATGCTTTTAATATTTTGAAGGAAAAACTTATAAATGCACCCATCATGGTGGCACCAGATTGGAATCTACCTTTTGAGCTTATGTGTGATGTAAGTGATAGTGCTGTAGGAGCTGTCTTGGGACAAAGAAAGAACAAAATTTTTCAAACCATATATCATGCCAGCCACACCCTTTCAGAAGCTCAATTGAATTATACAACCACAGAAAATGAACTTTTGGCGGTAGTATTTGTTTTTGATAAATTTCGTTCTTATTTGATTGCTAACAAAGTTGTGGTTTATACTGATCATTCTGCTCTTAAGTATTTGCTTGCAAAGAAGGATGCAAAACCAAGGTTAATTAGATGGATTTTATTGCTACAAGAATTTGACCTAGAGATTAAAGACAAGAAAGGGATTGAAATTTCAGTTGATGATCATTTGTCAAGGCTTAAAAATCCTAGCCAAGAGGTAAGTGCATGCCCGATTAGGGAAGAATTTCCAGATGAGCAACTTTACATTATTAAGGTTACATCTTCTCCCTGATTTGCTGACTTTGCAAATTATTTGGCATGTAATATTCTTCCTCCTGATTTATCTTATCAACAAAAGAAGAAATTCTTTTCTGATGTGAAAAATTATTTTTGGAAAGAACCTTTTTTGTATAGATTGTGTGCAGATCAGATTATTAGGAGATGTGTCCCTGAAGAAGAGGTAGCTAGCATACTTCATCATTGCCATACTCGTGAAGCAGGTGGTCATTTTGGAGCCACAAAAACAGCAGCTAAGGTTCTACAATCAGGTTTCTATTGGCCTTCTATTTTTAAAGATGCATACTCTTTTGTAGTTTCATGTGATCAATGTCAAAGAAGTGGAAATATTTCTAGAAAAAAATGAGATGCCTTTAAACAATATGCTTATATGTGAGTTATTTGATGTTTGGGGTATTGATTTTATGGGACCTTTTCCACGTTCTTTTTCCAATCAATATATTTTAGTGGCTGTGGATTATGTGTCTAAGTGGGTAGAGGCTGTAGCATTACCCACTAATGATGCCAGGGTAGTTGTTAAGTTCTTGAAGAAAAATATTTTCACCAGGTTTGGCACTCCTAGGGCAATCATTAGCGATGGGGGAAAACATTTTTGTAATAAACAATTTAAGGCACTTTTAAGTAAGTATGGGGTAACTCATAAAGTTGCAACTCCATATCATCCACAGACTAATGGCCAAGTTGAGGTTTCAAATAGAGAATTGAAAAAAATTCTGGAAAAGACTGTTAATTCTTCTAGAAAGGATTGGTCATTGAAACTTGATGATGCGCTCTGGGCATATAGAACAGCTTTTAAAACTCCTATTAGTATGTCTCCATATAGGTTAGTTTTTGGAAAAGCATGTCATTTACCTGTTGAACTTGAGCATAGAGCATATTGGGCAATGAAATTTTTAAATTTTGAGATGCAAGCTGCAGGTGAAACAAGACTTTTACAATTGAATGAAA